TGCCCGGCAAACCATAAAGCCGGTAGCGCTCGGGCAGCCCTTTTCGCGTGGCTGGGAGGGAGGAGGGGAAGTTAGGGTGGGGACTTTGGGGAAGGGGTGGGGAAAGGGTGGAGTTGGGGCGGGGCCGGGGGTGGAAAAGGGGCGGGCTGGGGTGGGAAAGGGGCGGGGCTAGGGCCCGTGGAGTGTCCTCTTTTTTTATTTTTTAAATATGGTAACCCTATTAAAAACCAGTTTTGAGATTAAAAACAAATTTTGGACCAGCTCCACCGTTTCTCATTGTGTTGCCACCTGCTGCTCTGAGTGGTCAGGTACAACTAAGCAGCTGTCCTGTAGCAGTCTACACCTGCTCCCTGCTTCAAAATACACTCCCCAGAGACATGTACATCCAAATGTGACATTTGATAGGTCACCCAGAGAACAGCCAGCCGAGAAACAGCCTATGCTGTTTAGAAGATAGGCTGAGATAAGATGGGGAAAGGATATCTCCTCCAGCTCCACCAGCCAAAGTGCAAAGGTCACATATGGATGCACTTTGGCTGGTATGGACATTCCGGGGAGAGGGGATTCCACAAGCAGATAAAATAGTGTACACAGATTCAGCACTTATTTGCACATCTTAGAGCCTCAGGCCACGTTGCCACAAAATCATTATTCCGAAGGGATTGGGGGGAAGGATATATGGCTGAGCTTGTACAAGGAGTTGCTGGCATGTTTTCCCTCTTTGACACAACTCGCACTTGAAACTACCTCCAACCATCTAAGTAGGGGGATGGAGCAGAGGGGATGGAACGCCTGATGGCAGGGTTGTACTCTAAGGCGGGTAGTTGTGGCATGATCCTCATCAGGAAAGGCTGGTACATGCATGAGTGAACCCCTGAGAGACACCCCAAAATTAGCAAACAGTTGGCTTGTAGATTCATGCGCGCACGTGTGGCTATGAGAGATAAACAGGCATAATTACAAGGCTCTTCCAACACACTCGCTCTCCAGGCTCTCCCAACGTACACAGCTGTACACAGCTCTCTTTCTCTCTCTCTCTAGGCAAAATATTTTCAGCAAATGGTAAATTTGTCAGTGCATTTTTCAGGACTCCTGAACTATTTGCAAATTCAAGTT